AGGGCCTGACGCGTGATGTCCTCAGTCGGCCTTCTCAGTGCATGGCCAATCCATCTCCACTTCTTCCTGCATATTTGTTGAGCGATAGGTTCTTGGTTGGTTCGTTCCCAGAGTTCCTTGTTGCTTATTCTTTCTGGCCATCTGATCTTCAGTAGCGAGCCAGCGCAAACAGTTGTTGATGAATGTCTGTAGTTCATTGGAAATGCCTTTCGTGACGCGCCAAGTCTCTGATCCATACAGAAGCACTGACTTGACTGGGTTGGTGTTGAAAATCCGGATGTTGTTCATGCTGTGCTCAGTGCAGAAGATCTCCACACTGGTTTCAGACTAATGAACTCCTGTCTTGCTTTTCCGATCTGGCTGACTTTGACGTCCTCGTCCGTCCCGCCTGTAGTTGAAACAGTGCTTCCTAGATAAGTGAAGGAGGTTACTTCCTTTAAGTTTCTCCCGTTGACGGTGATTGGAGTTTGTTGTTGTTGTTGGAGTTGTTTGTGCGGTATCTCCATCACCTCTGTCTTCTCTATATTCACCTGAAGTCCCGTCTTCGCTGCCTTGACTCTTCTATCAACTTGTTAGTTTTTGCCTGCATATCTTCAAGTTTATATGACATTAGGCAAAAGTCATCGGCGAAATCCAGATCTTCTAGGTTCTTTTCCGTCGTCCAGCGTATCCCCCTCTTCTCGCTGCCTACTGTTTGCTGCATGATCCAGTCCACCACAATCAGGAATATCATGGGGGATAGTAGGCAACCTTGTTTCACTCCTGTCTTCACTTCACTGCAAAGGCATCACTGAGCTTCCCATTGTGGATTACTTGGCATGTGGCATCTTCATATAGTTGTTGAATGAGGCGGATAAAGGTTTGCGGTACTCCGTAGTAGTGAAGCAGTTTCCAAATTACTTCTCGGTCAACGCTGTTAAAGGCCTTGTCAAAGTCGATGAAGTTGAGGTAGAGAGCTGATTGCCATTCTATACTCTGTTCTATGATGATGCGAAGCGTTTCAATTTGGTCCACACATGATTTGTACTTCCTGAAGCCTGCCTGTTCCGGTCGCAGTTTTGAATCCAGTGCATCTTTGAGCCTCTCCAGGATGATGCGGCTTAATATTTTGCTTGTATTGGGTGGACAGGAGAGTGATTCCGCGCCAGTTCTTGCAAGCACTGAGGTCTCCCTTCTTCGGCAGCTTGACAAGGTAACCCTTCTTCCAATCAGTGGCCAGGTACCTTCTCTTCCTTCCACACCTTCTGCAATAGTGGTGTGGTGTGAGCATGTCCGCTGTTGTCTCTGCATCTGTTCTCAGTGCTTCTGGCGGTATCCCGTCTGGTCCTGCTGCTTTCCCACATTTCAGTAGCTATATGGCGTTCAGGACTTCCATTTTCGTTGGGGGATTTATGTTCACTTGTAGTTCAGCGGATGCAGGTGGTATTTCTGGACGAAGTGCAGGTGGTGGTGGTGGTCGATTCAAGAGCTTCTTGAAGTGGCCGGCCCATTGTTTCCTCTGTTTCTCTTCTTTTGTAATTAAATTTCCTTCTTCATCTTTTATTGGTTTCATCTGTGTTGATCTCTTCCCTGATAGCAACCTGGTTATTTGATACAATGTTGTCAGGTCTCTCTTACCTGCAGCCTGTTCTGCTTCACTTGCCAGTGTTTCGTAGAAGTGTCTTTTGTCTTTGCGTGCACTCTTCTTTACTTCTTTGTTCAGTGTTTTATACATTGTGCTCAGTTTCTCTTGTCTTTGAGCATCCATGCACTGGTTTATCTTCTGTTTCACCATCCTCCTCTCTCTGCTCTATCAGCTTCCATGTATCCGCGAGATCCATTCCTTGTCTTCTTTCTTCTTCCTTCCTAATACCTATGTGCAGGTTTCTTTACACATAGCCTTCAAAGACTTCCAGTGTTCTTCCACACAGGTTTATTCAGGGATGTTCCTCGATATCTCCCATTTTGTCTTGATGGCTGCCTTGAAGATCTCCTTTGTAGTTTCATCCCTCAGTTTACGAGTGTTGTACTTGAACTGCGATCTATCACCAGCTTCCTTGAAGGCTTTTAACTTGATTTGGAAGGTTCCTTGCACTAGATAGTGGTCTGAACCTACATCTGCTCCTCTCCTTGACCTTGTGTCAAGTAGGCTGACTGCGTCTCCATTTTCTTGAGATTGAGATAATGTCGATTTGATTTTTAATGTGTCCTGGTGTCTGGTGAAATCCATGTCGCTTTGTGGATATCTTTGTGCTTGAACACATTGCCTCCAATCACCAAATCGTTGAATGCGCAGAATTCTGCAAACAATTCTCCATTCTCATTCATTTCACCTAGCGCCTCTCGACCCATGGTTAGTTCTCTTCCTGTGTTGTCCCCTCCCAGTTTGGCATTCATGTCGCCCATCAGAATTTTGATATCGCCAACTGACGTCTTGTCCAGTGTTGATTGAAGTTGTCTGTAGAATTCCTCCTCCAACTTCTCTTGCTCTGCATTATTTGTAGGTGCATAACATTGTATGATTGTGACCTTCCTTCCTTTTGAGTTGAGTCTTGCTGTCATGATCCTGGAGGAGATTGGTTCCCACTGCATGAGAGCCTTCGATGCTGTTGGGGACATCATGATAGCCACTCCCTCAGTGTGCTCGTGGTTGTCGTCTGGGTGACAATATCGGAGTAGATTATTGATTCTGCAGTTGACAGTTTGGAGAGTCCACTCCCATTCCATCTGCTTTCGCAAATCCCAAGCACTTCGATGTGATACCTTCTCATCTCCTTTGCAATCTGGGCTGCCTTGCTGGGTTCAAACATCGTTTTCATCGAGAGAAGACACATCGGCCAATTGGCTTCTCGAAGGCTTTCACCAACTGGCATCATTTCGCCTCTCCGATTCCAGCGGGGAATAAGTTTGTTTTCATTTTTATATTTTGTTTGTGCTTTGAAGTTTCTTTAGCGGTTAGATTTGTTTTCCGGGGTAGGGTTCCAACCCCTATGCCCAACCTTCCCTCTTTACCCGGGCTTAGGACCGGCTAGTAACTAGTAAACTAGTTAACCAGGTGAGGGTGCAAAATTCATAGGTTAGTTTAAATTCAATAGTCTCATTCTTAGAATACTTAGATCTTAAATGTTATGATCATAAATGTTTAGGCTTTCTCCCAACTTTAATTAGCATCATCATTTGAGTTAGAAAACTGGTCAGATATGAAACAACGTTTTCCGCTTATCAGAAAGTTAATAAGAGTCAATCTGAACATGTAGGATGAGGAAACATCGATCATGGGGAAATCTCCTATCCTAAATGAAACGCTATCTTTTATCAAGTTTGAATGTTTAGCAGTATGACAGATGGTTTAGCTACCACAATAAGACAGAAAATAGCACTTTATCATATAATATCTCTTACTTCAACAACTTATCTTCTGTAAAGGTTACTCAATATTCGGGTAGTCAAAATGAGGAGAAACTGCTATCAGAGTCATGGGTAAACATGTCTAAGATAAAAACAGCTGTTGACTGCTCCCAGGTATTCCATAGTTTTCTGGCTGACTGCTTTTCGTGATGAAAACATATCTGATATCCAGAAACGCTGATTCATCATTTATTCCGTGCTTCACCAAGATTGATGCCATTAAAATTAGATGACGCTGGTTTTTACATATATTTCTTAAGGAAGGTTCTAAGATTCGCATCATGATGGCACTAAATTTAGTTGATAGTTCTGAATAAATTATTCAGCTAATGCAACTCACTATCGAACTGAGGAAGAATCTAAAAAATAACATTAAATGCATGATAAAGATAGTGTATTGTTGGATAATGGTGTATGTAAGCGATAAGAAGAAATCACTATGTATATCTTTCCTTCAAATGATACCCGTTGTTACATTTTGATTTCATTCGAAAAGAAACGATGAACGATATTATGAGTAAAATAAATATGTACAAAGTGAATCTACTTATTCCACTCTGTCCTATATCGGTTTCAGTTTTCAACAGGCAATTTCTCTTGTCTTTCTGACACTTTACAGGAATTCTAAACTTTCTCATATGATTTAAAACAGCGGTCAGAATTAATAAGGTGTTGATATGTCCTTTAGTGTTCAATATCCATCTTTTTCAATCAAATTTTTAACCATCATGTAAGTAGTAGTTCAGTATATATGATCTAGCCACTTCTACTAATGCGTATTACTCATCTTGTTGACTAATTCCAAATTCATCACATAACTATTGAACCAAGGTTGAGCTATAATACAGAGGTAACAATGGTTTAATATAAAGTCTGTGTAAGTACTATGTTTTCAATGCTTAAACCTTAGCTACAACTTTACCGTATACTAAAGATCAATGCAGCATATACTGAGGAAGCTAGATTGACTTTCAGGTGTCATGCTTCTTAATTTAAAAAGAACAAGGTTTATGCTTGTAAAGAAAAGGTGAAACTGACAATAAAATTTTAAAAAAATTAGATTTACTATAAATTAAAAAAATATTTTTAGCAGAATTTCAGAGCTGTGCATCTTTTACGGGACTGTTATGTTTTAAAGAAAAAGTCAAATGAAACGTTGAAATACCAGAATTTTGACTTTCATTGATATGGGCTGATGAAAAAGGTAAGAATCATCATAAGAAATCTAAACATAAGCATGACTTCATAATTAATTCTTTAAGAGATTTCTTGTGAAACTTTAATGCACTGATGACGATGTTCAGCTTGATGTTGGAGTATTAGCCAACTAAAAGTTTTTGCTCAAAGGACAACTCAATCTTAACATCGTCAACTTAAGCTAAAAATACTCATTACTCTTGGAAATAATTTCAAACAGTATTTAAAATTCCAATTTAATAGACTCCTGAAGATTATCATTATCTAAGTATGTAATTCATCACACTGTATTTCTTCTTCATCTCTTTTATTTTGTATTAACGATACCAAGTAGTTGTTTCATTATGACTGTTTATTGCTAAGCTTCAACTGTTTATTTGATCAAACATGTATTGTTTTTTATTTATTGTTTCAAGTTATCATATTAACTGGTGAACCTGCAAGATGGGAATCAAGTTTACAACTGTTAGTTGACTTATTAATGACTAATGGTAAACCAGATGAAATCCCTGAAGTATTTCCTGAAGAACACTTGCCAATTATTGCATGTAATATGGACTTGGTATATATGGACAAAGCATCATTGCCAAGATTCGGTCATGGTGCCTTTTTAATTTGTTTACAAACCTTGTATCAACAGCTAACTGGTTATAAATTGCAATATACATCTTTACTGGGTAAACCAAGTGAAATAACCTTTCGGTTCGCTGAACATATACTTAATTTAATTTCTAAACGAATGGGATATAAACGACCAATCGATCGCTTATATTTTCTTGGGTAAGTTTACATTAATATTCCAAGTATTAATGTCATTTTTAGTTGGGTACTAATCTTAAACCTGTCTATGTTTTGATGACGTTTTCTTCAAGATGTTTTTTTATAAATATTTCAGCTCTCTAGTGACTGCTTAGAGTTTAGAAGTACTCAGATAAAGGCTACATTCCTCATACTAGCTCATATTTACATATTCCCATCTGCTTCATAAATCAAGGTAGATTGTTTTTCAATCACTAAAGACCTTGGTTTAATCTGTTTATTAATATGCATCAGCACTTAAACAGTCGATAACCAGATTTTCTTAGTCTCAGTGCTAGCTGTTCTTTTGAGGTTATAAATCACAGTTAATTAATCGAAATTATTCTACATAAAAAAGGAAGTACAGTTTTCGGTTAAGCAAAAGGGAACACATTACTGTAGAACTTGATTTTCAGGGAAACATTATTTATCCTGATAATGTTTTTTCTACAGGACATTCATAAATACGCACAAACAGTCAATAGCGAAAAAGCCTGCTAGAGAATTGGGAGTTTGGAACACGATCACAGTCAGGCTTTCAGCTGATACGTTAGACAAATTAACTGTTTGGTTAACTAGCTAATAACATAGTAGTGTTTGAAAAGGTGATTGGTTTGAATAGTTCAAAGGCGTTTATGAATTGAAATCTATTCAATACACCAGGTTCTAAAAGAAATATAACTCAAAACTTTGTTTCCTGTTATTATCATGCATATAGTATCATTAAAATACTAAGCACAAGCCTTAACAGTCTCCTAGTTTCTTAAAATTCTCTTTTTTAATGAAAAGAGTCTTCGCGACTTAGTATGAGTTGCATAGACACTGTATTATCAGTCAAACTTATATTCAGTTTTAAATATAATTTCGATAGTCATTTGAAATATCGTTGAATTAATAAAAGCCTAGATTCAGTGGTTCTTACTAATAGGCTCTTAAAATCGAAGAATGAAATAAACTTCACCATAGTGTTATATTACTCAGTTTAGTGGCCATATAGCAAAATTGTTAGTTATGTTTCAATCAGAGCTAAGAATGTAGAAATCAATCACTAGATCTACTGACATCCTGTGACAGTGAATGTCAATACTCTTGTCCTACAAATCAGTAGTTCTCTAGAACAATTATTATTGACAGTTATCAACCAATCTGAGTTAGATGAAGCCTTCTGTTAGCTGACTCCTAGAATGTGTAGTCAAATTAGCGGCTAAGTGTTACCATATAATCATTTCGATACTATGTAGTGTTTCGTGCGAAGGATACTGTCATTTCATTGTCATATGTGTTTTCTTTGAAGCCAATTAACTGGATATGCCTTTATCTGTTACTACTAATTCCACGAGAGTCAGACTTATCATTTTATCATTTCAAAATTGATTAGTACTTTATGATTTATTCTGAACTAGCGGATCTTCATACTACAGCTTCCAAAGCTAGCCATATCCAAACAAATTCAACCAAGGTGAAAATCATATGAGAATGGGATGACGTTAGCTATCAAACGTCTATCTATGTGGTTCATTGAGGTCATTAACGAGAGATTACAAAGTTTATGGGAGACACTCATTTCTTTTTTTCAAACAGAGTTGTCTTATTCAAAAAGAATGACATATTTCTCAAACTATGAATTGGAAGTGTTAATACTTTGGCCAAGTTTACAGTTCTGTTTGAATGTTATTGGATGTAAATTTATCGGTGAAATTTCCTTGAAGTGTTTAAGGCATTCAGAAGTTGACTATTTTATACGAAATCCATAGTCATGGAAACATTAAATGTTGTTATATAATTCTGATAGATAAGGCAAATGGTGACAAATATCATGATTTGCAAAAACAAAATACATCTATCAGTAAACACGACTTTGTGTTTAAATCCAATGTAAGTGCTAATAACTCATCCATCCATTCACTGGACATCAGTACACACGATAAAGTTGTCTATGTTCAACCTGAAACTGGTATGCTCCTTCACCGTTAAACAAACTAAAATCTCTTTGTAGATATTTGTCATTACTAGTAAGTTCTTCTTGAAAATGAATTATCTTCATCTCACTGAAATTACCAAGGTCATGTAAACAACCATTGTTAACCTGTTGCTATGACTGATTTTTCTTTTCTATTCACCTTCAAATTGTTTCATTCTATCACTCATGCATACACCATATAAAAATTTGATACAGGATTATTCATGCTTAAAAATAAAACTGTCATAATTGTATTCGCTTTCTTCGCACAGTTAAGTATTATGCTCAATTCTATGAATCTCCCCTTAAAGTCATTCTATTTAAAGCAGTTGGAAAAGGACTTTACTCATACTTTCTACTTATCAGAGAAAAGTGGAGGAAATTCAGTATAAGCTCAAATGGGTTTTGTTTGTTTGCGTAAAATACTTAAGCGTCAAGGTAATAGTTTTTTTTCTAAAGGTGTATATTTTATAAGGCAGCCAAGTAGAAAAAGCTGAAGAAAATTTACGCAATAAACATTGCATTACTGAAATCAGCTTTATCTTCTCAATGTAGTTTAAATAATTTATGCATAAAATAAACTGATTTTTTCTTATTTTTGCTGGAAACATTAGGATAAATAGTCCATTTAGAGACAGGCAGGCGGGTTGAAGACACACGAGTAGTTAGGATAGATGGATAGACCGACGATGGATGAAAAATGAAGGCATGAAAAAAAAGATGATCTTAGAAGAGAATTATAACGAAGTTATTGGTTTCTTTTCAAGTCTTTCTTATCAAACTATTTAATCAATTCTCAATGGCCTTAATTATTTTTTACTTGAAAATAAGTTAAAAAGATCCATTAAAACTTGTGGTTCACTTACTTGCTTACTTACTTTTGTATCAACAAAACAGTCTAACCCAATCATCAGTTATGCATCGGATATGCTGTCATACAAAATGTGGATCGTCGGATCCCAACTTGCTCGAGGAACCTGAAGGTCCTGGGTTCGACTCCTGGTGGGGCCACAGGTGTCCAGTACTCCTAGGTTTATAATGTTCGTCTGAATACTGTCATTCCATGGTGAATGCCAACGAGACATGTTGTTTATTCAGTTTCACTTAGTTTCCTGTATGTTAGATACGTTTGTGTGATTATTTGTGGCTCCTAAATTTGCGTGTGCCATAAGTTACGAATAATAACTCAGACTGAATGGGAATTATATGTTAATAAGTTAATCTACTAGATTCGGTTCAATAACAAAACACAGTACCTTTTAGTGTCATGTCATTTGTCTTAGTGTCACGATTGCAAACGTGATCGAAAGACTTCGACTGACATTGAGAACTAAGATCCAGACGAACATATCAGTTACTCACTGGCGACTGTTCTATTAGAAGAACATTAGACTTTGAAGCATTAGATCTGTTAGGTGATGACTGTAACCATAATAAGTTCACGAAATCTCTTGCATGATTTTTCTGTAACTAAAAACGAACTTTTTAGTTTAAACCATCTAGCTGGATGATAATTTTGTTTCATGTCATAAATAACTACAGCGCTTAGGGAAAAAAACAGACTTGACTGAGATAAGAGTTCAACTTTCCCCAACTTTAATACTGATCCAAGTGATATCAAAAATGTGATGAAAGTCACCTTTGAAACTATTGGAAATCTTTTATATATCACTGTAAACTTATAAATTAATTAAAATGAAGTTAACTAGTTCCGTCCAAATCTTAAAAGTGAATAACAATTTAGTGCTAGCTACAGACTTGTCTTGAAATGAACTTCATTAAGTTTTGATGAGTATCTATGAGTTGTAGGGGGTCAACCAGTTCAGATATGCGGACAAATACTAGTCAGTGGTATTTGACAATGTTTGCACAATACAGCGAATTGAAACAAATGAAAAAAAAGCAAACAATTGGATCCCAGTGCCATAAATGTTTAACATTGTGCTTACTACAAGATCTCACGGTCTCCCGCTTGATCTACTATGAGATCTTGAGTGTGCAAAGCTGAAAAGCCCTGAACTGGGAGAAAATATCTGTTCAGTGTTCTTAGATGTCCAATAGTTCTTTGGTTGATATCCACTCTGGATGATAATTCATTTCAAACCAATCAGTTTCATACAAACTTCTAGATTTTATCTGCAATATGCTGTAATTAACTTGTTTGAATAGTGTAATAAAACATTTACTAATCTTATAGCAATAAATCTTGTTTAGTGGACTCAGATTTGATGATAGTTTTCCAAAAACTTAGTGCACCACTTGATCAATAGTTGAAATCACTACTTCCAGTTGCAAGTTCATATGTCTGTAACTTTTCAAGAATAGCTGGATTGATAATGAAATCACTTTAGAGTGTGCTTTGATATGTCGTTTACTGAATGAATACTATCCAACATATTCATAAAACAAGTGAAGAAAACGTTTTTACTTGGATATTGATTTTAAATCCGGTAAGTAAAACTGAAGCTAATGAAAAATTTTGATTGATAAGAAGATTCGAACCATAATCCTTGCTAGAAACTAACTGTACAAAATACTGACTGGATTGCAAGATTTATCAGTTGACTGTATTTCAATTTGTATCCCGTAAATGAGTTCACCAGCACCAGTCCTGAACTATATTCATCTCACCAAACTCTCCTGAACTTGAAGTTTGTTACTTGTAAAATTTCACTGACATTTCTCTTCTCAACAATAATTTAATTAGAAAAATAGGATTTAAGATTGCAAATATGAGGACCAGTAAGCATAAAACCACGGTCCAGGGTTTGTACAGATTGGATTCCAATATCTAGCACCAAAATAGAGACGTTTTATTTTACCGCACGGACAGCATTTGTTGAAGGTTTTACTTCTTTAAATAGCTAGGGGTTCTCATCAGTAATATTACAAATGAAATATTTATGTATTTATTCAAACTTAAGTATACAGGGCTCCTTCTTGGCATGCGGTTATGAGAGTAACCAATGAAAACAGATGTTGTCAGAAGGTTTCAGGTATTTCATCATCCATATCGTCAACTCGTCAGAATATGTAATGGAATCATTATTATTACGGTGAAATGATTACCGAGTTCGAGTTAAAGATCGGCATTGGTCCATAGAATTAAAAGTGTTGAAAATCGTCAAACAACGTAACTGATGTACACGTACATCACTGCTGTTCACATAATCTGCAACAGAGAAGAAATAACTTAAGTCAATAATTAAATAAAGACAAATTTTTGCAGTTAAATGTGAGTAATTTTAATTGGTAAAATCATGAAACTGCTAACGTTTATGAGGATAGAAGGGGTCAATAGTTGCACACATTTGTGAGCAGTGGCATCGTGGTCAACCTCTGGTAGTACTGGAATGGATACACTGAATGCCTTGAGTGATGAATGAATTTTCTTGGTAGTTTTTATATGGGGCCACCTAGCTGGAAGACTCCGCATGATCGTATGCTTTGGTGTGGTATTGTATGAAATTCTTTAAGAATTAAATGACAACGGCACATGTTTACTCTATACTTCAGTAGTAATGGTTGTTTGATTATACTTTCCACTGAACAAAGACAATACACTAAGATTTACGATTACTAGGATGAATGGTAAGTGAAATAATCGACTGTATTCAGTCCTTGTTGAGGATGAGACAATATGAAACCCTCAACTTGCAGACAGTTGATCATTTTCAAACGTAAATGCTTTTTAGACAATGTTAAACTGTTCTGAAAACAAGTATCACTGTTATTTGACAAACGAGGAAATGATACAGTGTTATTTACTGAATGATATTTCATGCACAAATTACTACTCATAATCACATCTAAATGATCACATAAACTAGCTTAGATAAGGAATTTGTTGACTAAAAGATCCTACAAATATAGTTCAATAACACAATCGAATCTATCAAATACCATATGACGTTTGTGATGTCAAGAATATATGTTGAAGTAACCAGTGGTGGCTAATTGGTATTTAGAACCACAAAAGCTTAGCAAAATTAACAGTGATGAGTCCTACTAAAATAAGTAGTCTAGAGAAGATCTAAGTTATCAGTATACACGCACAGATCAATAATCGCGTCAAAGGGTTCAGCAGTTCATGTACAAGCTAGTTTAACACGACACTAAAGTGGGTCATTTAAACATCCTCCATTAGTTGTCTACATCCACATCACACATTATTGATGAGTCGGATTTCATGGTGTTCAACTGCAACCTTGTTTGATAGAATTCATTTATTATTTGCAGTCAGACAGTATGGTGTTGGTTATTATCCAGATATCGATCAATGTTATACCGATGTCGACTCAAAGTGAAGCACTCACTACTCAACTTAGTCAATCAGTTTATCATTAGTTAAATACAGTTCACTGACAACTGAGCAGTATTTATAAAGAGAACAGACCCGAAGTTGTTTTCCAATTTCACCATTATTTGAATGATTTTTTGAACAAAAACATTTAAACAACTTCATATTGTTTATGGATACAAAACATTGTTAATAGTTATGTATTTCTAAAATAAATATAATAAAATGCATCACATGGATTAAATTCAATGTCATTATGCCTCTGTTGGTGTGTGTGTGTGTGTACGTGGAAAAACGTGTACTAATTCAAAAAGCCTAACTATGAGACATTTCTGTAATTCAGTGTGAATCCGATCAAAATATAGGTTACTAAATAAAACAATTTATTTTTCTTTATTTAATATTAGAGACAATCCAGATGTGGATGTTTTGGGTTCAAATCTTTACAATAACTTTCTACGTCGATTTCGTCATTTATCTGGTGGTGATAAATCTCCAACAGAAGGTCACAGTCAGTATCAGAAAGTTTCAGTTGCACAATCACGCACCGTACCACCGAATGCTGCATTTTTACCACAAACTGCAAGAGGAATTGATTGTAAGTTAAACACTTTATTTACTAAAAATGATAATTTTATTGTAAAGGTAGAACAGTCAATCCGTGAAGTTCAAAATGATGCATTAGTTAATGACCATGAGCACCTGAAACTTAAGTAATTGTATCTCTGAATTGAAGTTCTTATAAACTGAGATACGCTTAATGTAGGATTTCCCAGGACTTCGAATTTACGATGTTACACCTATTTCTCTTAGTATACTGAATTGGATTTTCACACTACAGTCTATAAGACAGTTTTGATCGGTCAACTTGATTTAACGTCAATCTGTCAATCAAATAACTTCTCACAATGATGGATTGTAGCTAGCAGTGGAATCCAGGATGCTCATTTCGTCCTGTTCGGGACTTTTCAGCTGGATGTACCTCCCTCCCGGTGTCATGTTGTTCCTTCCGGGATTCGAACTCGGGACCGACCGCTTCAAACGCAAGAGCTTAATCCACTAAACCACCGAGCCACGATAGTCACTTTTTGAGCGACGGGAATACTTTTACTATTATTATTTGTATTATACTGTCGTTGACTGGACAGAATCGATCGGTCTCTGTTGGCATATGTACTGCTGTGTAGATGTTAATTCGGTTCAGTCAACAACGGTATAATACAGGTGGTATTACTAAAGCTTTTAGAAGCCTGTTCGATAAATAAATAAATTGGTATTAGAAAGAAAGGGAAGTCAGTATCACTGATCATATTTTTAAACATCATGAAAGTAAATTTATCTTGTCAAATCGTGTAAAATTCTTCATCAAAACCAGCATTCTCATACTCGCAGATCTCAGTGATGAGGATATCTTTTCAGCGAAGTAAATGTTGAAGGCAGTTTCTGAAGATTATTGAGGTAAGGAATTATGGTTTATTTATCTTGACACTCGATTTTCAACCAATGGATCACGTGTGCTAGACCATCTCCATCTTCCTATGTTTAGGACGTCTGGTAGTATTATTATCCTACATTTTATTCAAATATTACTTGAAATGTGCAAATCAACAGAAGGAGTAAGCACGTACACGATGAGATTTAAAGTGATTTATCTCATTGTACACATTAATCACACAAAAAGCAGATGATGATTGGTGCAGAGGTTAGTTTATTACACCAGAGATTGTAAGATCAGTAATGCTGGGACTGATCAGTGTTCCAAAGTCAAACAAATCAGTTCAAAGAGTTTTAAAATAAAGTAATTCTTCTGAATGGAAACCTTGCAGGCTGGTTGGATTTTCTTTAACTTTTATATGTGCACGTTTAACAGTTGTCGAAAACCGCAACATTTAACCAGAAGTCACCTAGACAATGTGGTGAAATTTGTTTTATCAAAATCATGTTATATTAATAAGGCCTTTTTTTATAGTTAATCCATCGAGAAACACTGATAGTGTACCAACCAGGTGTTGATACTTTTTCGTCTAGCCTGTAGGTAGTTACTTTGTTGCAGGCGGATGCATGAAGCAGAGTGAGTTTGGTGGTGACTACGAGAATCTGGAAGTGAAGAGATGAAGAGAAAAAGGTGGGCCGACGACTTAGTAAGTACACAGGATGTACTTACACTTAATAATAAACGATAACTGACAAACAGTTTAGCTTGACAACGAAGGGGTAACGCAGTCTAGAAATCAAAACTAAAAGGTGAATGAGTAGGATTTCTAATGGGTTACAATCGTAATTATAGAAAATGAGGAAGATTCCTCATGTTTTCGGCAGATTTTAATTTATGCTTTCATATATAAATCGGATATGCATGAAAATCACCTTAGATAAGGAGGTACATAAAAGTTTGCGACAATACATTTGTTATAACAATAGCGTATATGTGTATGTACATTAGGCCGCAGGGCATAAAATATTCGATTTGATTCACGCAGTGAAGAACTCTGCGAATTAGTTATGAGATTGGTCTTCTTAATTTAACAAGTGTCCTCATATATTTTTCTTATCATGTTTGGTTACCTTATCCGATTTGTCTTGTCTACCTCAATTAAATATGCGATTTGGATGATAATTAAAAAACGAGTAATTAGAATTGAAAAGATTCGAAAGAGTGAAACCTAATTTACTTCCTTTCAAATGGTCATGGTTCATGGATCATAAGTAGAGAGATTAGCAACATTTATAGTTCAGTAGTTTCAAGCTAGAGATTGTTTAAATTGATGTGATTTCCAAACAACGCAAGTGTTAGGAATTCAAATTAAGATTCCTAAATGTCTTAAATAGGTTTATTTCACTATGTAGTTAGTAGGAAGATGAGAGTTCGATGGCTTCAGTTATACAGGATGAAAGGATTACTAGAGTATACCACCAAGCATCAGAATTCATCAAACAAGTTAATTCAAGAATAGTTTCCATGATGAGGAAAAATAAAGAATATTAAAAAAACAGTATGCTCAACTCTTCTATGAGTCGCTTAATTGACCGTTTTCGTGATCAAATTCAGGAAACCAAGGTCTTTTTCAACAATATTTCATCCTTCATTCAGTCGTTGGGATAACAAACTATGAGTAAAATAGATATATTGGCTTTCTAATACAAAAAGATTTAGCAGTCAATTACGCGGAAAGATTTCATGAAGTACATATATCTGTTAACCTACTTCGACACCAATGAAAAGCAACTACTTATTTTTATTCACCAAGAATATTTAAAACTGGTCATGGACAGTGGCCAGTAGTGGAATTCAGGATGCATATCTTATTCTATTTTTGAAATTTGCAACTTCATTGCACCTCTTTCTCTTTTGCCATATACAAGGAAACTTCAGTTGAGTACCTATAACTTCAAATAACATAACATTATCCACTAGGCTACTGAGTCATAATAGTCTTTTCTAGAGTAATGTGCACAGCTTAATATGTTTCACTTGTTGATTAGTGCAGATTAGACTAACCAGCCAATGTTGTCAATCTCGGAGAATTCTCAAAAGAGATTTCTTGTCATCACTAAGCAACTAGTTTGGTCCATAGTTACCAAGAAAAAGAATTAACAAACAGAAACTGCATATCATTAGGTTTTTGTTATCTGAACAAAACATAGGACGGAAAAATACTGTCATAAGTTGGATTATCATCAGACTTTAAAATGCAGTGTTACATATATATGTGAAATGTTGGACAAGGCATGAGGACTAATGGTAAACGATCTAAGGATAGTCAGCTAGGTAGCGAACGATAACGAGAATAAGAAAAACGATAGTTATGCTAATGATAATGGGAAGAGTAAACACATAATAATGCAGCTGGATTATACCACAAAATAGGAGAGGTTGATAATCTCATAATCTAAACATAAATAAAACTAGTACTTCAATAAAGCATAAAGCGAAAAGCTGTTAAAGAAATAAATACTGAGCAAATACTTTATGGTTACAAATAAGAGATGGTTTCACGAGGAATTCCTTATGAAGCTCTGATCCATTGATCATGATGTGTAGTATGACACTGAAGTGTTTGCGAAGTACAGCTCTAGCTCAGAGAACCACTCATTTGAAACATGTACAATTTTAAGCTTCTTTTTCCCAGGAATAATCCTACGCCCTATTTCCACCAGTATTTACACTCAAATGAGCAAATTCTATGCTAAGTTATCAAGCCTAATTAACATTGTAATTTTTTTCAAGGAGTTCCCTTAAGATACTGCATGATGATTGAAGGTGGAATGAAAATCTGGGTAAAGGTAGAATTTGAACTAATCAACTGCAATTGAGAACTGGTCGGCTGGTTACGTAGCTCAGTCGGTACAGTACCAATTCAGTAATAGAGAGGCCACTGATTTGAATGCTCCCATGACCCAGATTTTCATTTCACCTCCATTTATCACTCAATGTTAATAATATGAGTCTACGAATCGCGGGTATCTCAGATAGTCATACTGACAGCCAAAACGTATTTCTTGTATCGGAACAGAATTCTCACCTGTTTTGTCACTTTTCAAGCATTATCATTTGATACTGAGATCCGGCTTCAAAACAATCACGCTTCTGAGACCATCATCTTTATAAGAGCTGGAGCGGTTGTCAGTATCATTCCAAATCAACTTAAATACAAGTCTATCCTGAATATACAAATCCGTTAGGAGATATAAGAAATAGGTTATATAAAATTGCATATATTATGAACTATCGGAGGAGATCAGTCGCAGCCTGAATACTTTTGACTGCAGTACTGGGTGCTGCGAGTTCAAATCTCAGGTACGATATCAGTCCCTTAGAGGTTGCAGATACCCCTTGCTGACGAGTGCCAACAAGCAGGAAACCTTGGTCTAAGGCTTTCTTCTGATTAGCTCCATCCAACTAATATCGATTAAAATGTATCCCAATGTTGGATCAACTAGCCTAGTGGCCACACTGCAAAAAACGATTGATAGAATTCCATCAGCACTTAGGACTAAATAAGATAAGTTGTACTATTAAAGTCCATTAAACTTTATCGAAATCGATTAACATGTTAAAAAGAACTAAGAAAGTAATTTATACTGGAATTATGAACCCAAAAAGATTCTGATTAAGACAGATGATAATCTGTGGGAAATTTTTATCTAATGGTTGAAATAAAAGAGGATTTTCAAAGGAGATATACTACTGAATAAACTGAGTAGTTAGAAACCACCCATATGTTTAGTTCACTCTGATTTGATTGGCAAAATCTGATTGGTTTCTAACTATTCAAGTTGTTCATTAGTATATTTCTTTAGTCTATGATACTTCCATTTCAAAGATTATACCTTTTGACCTTGGTTTCCAATGCAAACCTGTTCACACCACATTTGGAAGTTGAAAAAAACTACTCAGCTGTAAAAAATGTGAATAAGAATTGTGCAGTTTACAAATCACTTGCAAATTGGTTATCCTATTTGTTGAATTTCACATTTCACAACAGGTTTAAACCTAGTTGTATCGTTCTCTGCATGAACGGAGAATCTTTTGAAATCTTTCTGTAGTTAGATACCTCTCTCATTTGATACTATAGCATGCATTTTCTTGTTGCTGACTGAATTAAACTGATCAGTCTCATTAGCTAAATAGCTAAATTTAAATTTTTGCAATTGTTTTGTATATTGAATACAGAAATAGTTAAAAAATATTGAAACAATGAAATAATTACTAGTCTGTGAATGTTTTTATTGGTTTTATCTTTTCTCTCCTTTAATCAACAGCTATTCTAGTTAGAACTGGAGTATATAAACCTACAGCTGGTGAACGAGTACATTATTGTCATCGTGATTTTCAAGGTGCAGCTGATCTTGTCCTACCAACATTTGAAGTTGAAGATTGTTTAGAAGGTGTTGAATTAGTATTGAATATGCAAAAGTTTCATCCAAGTAAACAATCAACCAAATAAGTGACAAAATATTTAAAATCAACTTTTATTTAGAATAAACAATTTAAACAAAGGGAACAATTAGATAGCTTTGAAAAAATAAACAATCTTTTTTCCCTTTTGAATGATTGATAAAATATTCTTTGTTTTCTTATTGTTAAATAAAATAAATTACTTTTGATTTTCACAACTTTGCGAACTCTTCTTTTAAATTATTCTCAATAAAGTATGAATACTATAAATTTGTTCTGTAATTCAATTTGCACATGTACAATCCTCTCTCTCTCTCTCCCTTTACCGACGATTCTACGATAATAATGCTACCAATATTGTCTTATTTATGAACTAATTAGTGTTTGGTAAAAACATTTTCACAAAGAAGAGTTAATTAAATCATAAATCTGGTCTTTCTTTCAAAATGTTTTTATACTTATTCTTGTTTTTTTTTCCCTATCAGTTAACAAACCTCCACAAAACCTCCAGATGGAATTCATCTAGGGCTCATTAGTAACTAACTTCGAGAGGTGATCCTTGAAGTTCCAATGAGAAGTCGTGAACAGCGGAGTCAGCCAATTCGAACATGAAGACAGTTATTCAATGACGACATTAGATGTAGGTCGTGCTACATCGTGAACTGACAGAAGTAGGGAGTATGGATCATTGGATTGTAACCTAGCAGTACAGTGGTTACGTGCTGGCTAAGGAACTTGAAGGTCCTGGATTCGATCCCTGGTGGTCTGGGGTCATCAATGTGCACTGCTGAGGAGTCCCATAACAGTATGAAACAGCTTTCCAGTACTCTCATGTTTCTAATGCTCCTCCAATTGATGTCAGTCCATGATGAATTTCAACATAAAATCAATTTATAAACCTTCACAAACCTCCAGAAGGAATTTTTCAATATTAGTTTTAAAAGAAATTAATGAAGTAGAATTTTCTTTCCTTTAGTTTACCGCAAACGGTTCGTACTGTTACTTTCCGTCAAACAGTATGATTTGAAGGTTGATTTCGTTTATTTATGACTGATACCAGTAATGGTCAGAATAATACCGAAAGCTACAGTATTACCAGTAATAGAAAGCAAATGCATCATACACACACAGAAACTAAAAACTTAGACCAAGAACCATCGAAAGAAGTGAAAGAAAGTAATTATCTAAAATAAAGTAACACGGTTTTTCTATGATAAACATGTAAAAGTATATGCAGATAAAAAAACTTCTTAGAATTACTTTGGTTAATGATAAACGATTTCGGCAGGTAAATTAGCAAAATTCAACAAATACTGATAATGATTTCGCAACAAACTAGTGTTTTTTATTCCATATTAGATGATACCATTACTGGATATCCACAGATGAGAGTTTACATGAAACATTGACAATTTATAATAGTTCGTCGAATGCAAACAAATTCCAGCTTTATGCATTTCAGGGTAATTTTCAACTCAGCTTGGGATCATTTAGGGTACCACTAAAAACCTGAGGTCACCAGAAAGCCGTTTCATCCTAGTTTGAGACTTCTGAACAGTGAGCACCCATGAATTTAGAGAGAATCCAGCCCTGGACCATCAAATATCATAGGAAGTGGATTAACATTGGTCTGATATTCTAAGTTTTTGTTAATTCATGACACTACGCGACCGTCATCTAGTGCCATGGGCAGGTATTTATCCTCACACTTGACTTGGTCGACCCCACCGGTCACATGATTGAAGTCAGCTTGAAAACAACCAATTATTCTATCCAAACTAGCAATCAAATTAATGGCCTTTAGGCAGTACCTTTGTACACATGTATATTCGATAACTGGAAAATCATCATTTTTATTAAATAAATAGATACTGATAGTCATCATTTCGTATTTGAAAACCATGGTGAATGTTAACTGGGAGAGTTAAGTAACATTCGAAATATCTTAAATGGTGTTTAGAGCATGTAACAATTGACTGAATCAGGAGAGAGAGGGAGAGAGAGAGCAGGAATGAAACAGCTCTTGGAAAACACAGAGTCGAGGTTAATCTTTTCAGAAAACTGAAAAAATTTGAAATGTAAAGTAGCTTAACTCTGCATAATGTTTTGAGTAAAACATAAAAGTGGGTGACGTAAGGAAAAACTTAGAGATGAGTGTAAGTAAGAATAATCGTGTTAAAAAGGGTTAACGAGAATGATCTCATTTTTGATCAACAAAGAATTAACTTTATTTTATTGTCATCAGAGAGGTGAAGATGACAATAGATTGAAAGCCTCGAAAAATGGTAAACATACTTCTGAAAAGCCATGTATAGATTAATAATAATAATAATTCACTTTAGTCCAAACAATTTGTGGTACAATTTGGAATTCTCAGCGTAATATATATTGCAATAACAACAAAATATAAGTATATACATACTACTTTGCAGCCTTTTGAATTGTTTCATCATAAAAATTTAAGTTATGTGAAGAATATTAAAAACGAGAAAATTTTGCATTGTAAGTTAAATTATTGAAATGAGATTTTTAACTGTTACAAAGTTGATGTGTGATTTCTGTTCTAACACTTTTTTCCTCACAAAATATGCGTGCAAGGTAAGGTACAGTCGAATTCTTATACTTAGCCGTTTGAGCATACAGTCTTATGTAGTTTCTCCTTGTCCTCCCTAAGGAGATACATGGAAAGAGCTGTGAGTGAAGTGGATGCTCACTATCAGTTAAAATTTCTGTAGCTAGTAGCTTGCAGGAATTTATATGTCGATCAATTACAGTGTTAATCAGTTAAGCCAGAGACACACCACTCACCCTGCTGACGGTCTTCAAAGCCCTACGCAACATAACATAGTCCTTTTTAAGAAGACCAGGAAAGATTAATGGGGAACAATATAGAAGAATAGGTAAAATGCAGGAATTAATAAATTGTAAAAGAAGCAGTTGAGTTATACCAGAAAGCCTCAATTTCTTTACGTAATAAGTTAAACGAAAGATTTTTTTACAAGTCAATAAAATATGGGACGACCAACAAAGGTCAGAAGTAAAACGCAACCAAAGATAGTTCACACTCGATTTACTTTCTGCAGAAATACCATTGATGCAGCAGGCGTCATGAGATTTAAGCAGCTCACATAAGTCTTGTTTACGCCTGAGGCTAAAATTAACGGTCTGACATTTAGAGGGGTTTAGTTTGAGACCATTTGAGAGAGACCATTTACCAACTTCAGACAAGAATTCATTTAATTTTGAGCAATCCAAAGAAGAGTTTACTGGAATAGAAATCGTCAGGTCGTCAGCATACTTGATAAAATTAGTTTCAACAGAATAAGGCAAATCGTGCAAAAAAAGGAAAACAGAAAAGGAGAAAGTACAGCACCTTGAGGCACACCAGCTTCAGTAAGCAATGAAGTGGAGCGCATCCCTTTATGAATAGTGTACTGTTTCCTTTCAGAAAAATAAGAATGCAGCCATTTTGTAACCCATGGATCAGTGTGAGCTATGGCAAGCTTATTTAACAAAAGTGGTCTAGGAACAGAGTCAAAGGCTGATGAGTAATCCAAAAAGGCACAACGGACATACTTAACACCTTTGTCGAGACTAGAAACAATATTATGATGCAAGACAGTAGCTGCATCTAAAGTACTCCTCCGGTGTTTGTAAGCAAACTGTTTTGGATCTCTGAAGGCCATCAATGAAGGCTCAATCACAAGGAGAAGTAATTTCTCCATTGTCTTCAGAAAAGGGGAAGTTATAGCGATGGGTCGAAAAGTAACATCTGATCCAGAAGATGGCTTAGGCACAGGTACAATTTTTATCTGCTTCCAAGCAGTGGGTATTATGTTTTTAGAGAACGATACATTGAAGATATCTGTAAGTGGATGACACAAAATATCTGCACATTTTCTAAATATGATACTAGAAACACCATCAGGACCTAAGCTTTGGGAGGGATTCAAAGACTTTAGACATTTAAATACATCAATTGTACTGAAACCTGGAAAGCAGCTATCCACTTGATTTTGCACATTAGGAAGGGTGAAATTAGCTTGCTGACGTATAAATGACTTGTTTAACGCGCAGACATCAGAATGAGTTTGTGTTGTCATCTGTTTTTTACCAGTAAGCTCTTTAAATAATTTCCATATATTGGAAGAGTTCTTACACGATAAGAACTTCTCGTTGTATATAGTATTCAGACGTTGTATTTCAGACTTAATTAGGCAGTTAAGCCTTTTAACGCCAGGGTGATCTCTCGCCTTATACAACCTTTCCTTTTCTCTCCGAAGCCTCTTGAGATGAGGAGAGGAAAGTCTGTCAAATCTCATGTAAATTGTTTCAGTAGGGCAGCAGATATCGAGACAGAATCTGAGATAGCTTGTGATATTGGTAATAGTGTTGTCTAAAACTTCATCAGCAAATATATCCCAGTCCGTTTCTATAAGCATGCTTCTCAAACGTAACATATTTTCTTGTGAATAGCATCTGTATTGAACTTTCCTTGAAAGGTATGCAAAGCCTTCTTGTATAATTTTCCGTACACTTTAGGCAAAACACGAACGATACAGTGGTCGGAATTAAGCAGTGGAGCCCGTTTACGGGCTTCATATATGCCAGGTTCATTTGTAAATGCAAAGTCTAAGGTGTTATCAAGACGAGTGGAAAAGTTAACCATATTTTTATGACCCAATGATAATAGAAAACTGTAGTCACATGAGTTAAAATCACCACAGACAATAGACAAGGAGTTTCCCAGAACCGGAGCAGCAAATTCAGTGAATTTATCAGCAAAAGTTGACAAATCTGAGAAACTGCAGTCAGGTGTGACATACATGTTTGTGATATATATGTATTTGTATTTGCTCAAATGTTTGGGACGACATTTGATGGTAATACACTCAATTTTTTCGTTAGAGAAGCAGAAGCATACATAGTTGGAGGACGACTAGTTAGTACTAATAAATGTTGCTACACCACCACCATATTTCTTCTTCGAAAAGCTTCGATCTTGTCGAAATAATTTGAAACCATCTAAGCAGACTAAGTCATCATCATACAGATTATAAAGCCATGTTTCCTGCAGCATTATTACACCCGTGTTTCGATAAACATTTGTGGACAAGAGTGACTGAAGGTAATCAACTTTATCCGGCAAAGACCTGCAGTTTGTGCTAAGTATTTCCGGAATAGTCATTTCATACGCTTCAGAGCTCGTTGCCATCCACCGTGGTGCTTCTGCTTAAATTTCCTATCAACTTGCGAAGCCGTAGGTTGTAATGATTTTAAAAACGCGCGAGAATATACAATAAGATTGGTTGACATAATTAAACGATTAAAACAACATAGAAATAAGAAATTTGATGCAATATACTCGATGATAGAAAACTGTAGCCCACAGTTCAAGCAGGCCGCCAGATTAGTTGAATAGTCAAAATTCACCTAGTATCCCGGCAGTAAATGTTTCATTCGGTAAATATATTGTGAAATATGCTGCCATGTGTGTATCAAAGTCTAACAATTACTTTGATTGAGTAACTAAAGGAATTTAATTAATACACATTTATGTCTAGAGTGCGAAAGTAGACAGCGGATTATGAAATTAAATGTAATTACGTAATACCGGATAAACCTATGACAAAGTATGAAAATAGACATGGGATTGTGATTGCTTAATACAGGTTAAATCTGTGACGGAGTAGGGAAATAGACACGGTATTATGGAAATAAGACTGTAATTAAGTAGTGCAGGTTAAATCTATGACAAAGTGGAAAAATGAATAAGGTATACATATGTAGTTACCTGATACAAAATGAATCTATGAATCTATGATGGCCATGGCAAAGATAAAGATTTAACGTACCTTTTTTGGACGCTTAACGCTGGTTTGAACTTCGGGATCGCTAGTGCTTCAGCTATAGACAAATGCCTTGATTTTACTATCTTTGAGTAGTTTGATCAAACCCTGT